TGCTGGTCCAAGCCCCTATGGGTCCCAGTTGCTATAATAGATGAATGAATAGTCGAAGCCTGTTTTCTTGAATGGCTGATGACAAAATAAAAATGCCACAAGGGGAATTGAGTTGTTTGGGCACATGTGCTCCCTATATATATTCAGAAAACAATATTCATGCAGTCATCTTGTAGAATTTCATTTGCGTGGTTAATAGAGGGATCGCATGTTGGCGAGATGGTTGATAATCTAATAATAATTGAGTAATATAATAATTGATAATCTGAGACATTTGGCCACTGCTTAAAGGATTAATTCAATAAAATGAAATAAACTACAAGTTTGACATTTTGAGTAGTATCAAATATAAATTATTTTAATTAGGCTTTTTTCCTATTATTTATGATATTACGCTCATCGGAAGAGTTGAATCATGTCATAATATACAAATAGCTAAATCCGGGGCAATTTTGATTTCATGTTTACTTAAAAATGGTACACTCTAAAAAATGCTGGGTTGTTTTAACCCAACTTTGGGTCAAATATGGACTAACCCAGCCATTGGGTTAAATTTTTACATTACATTTTTAACCCAACATTTCGGGTTTGTCCATATTTGACCCAAAATTGGGTTAAAACAACCCAGCATTTTTTAGAGTGTATCGCTGTCTTACTCTCATGTATGTTAGCTTAATCAAATATATATATATATATATATATATATATATATAAAAAGGGGTATGTGACACGTAATATTTGCAACCTTTAAAGGGATACTTCAGGATTTAGCATTAAGCTTTGTATTAGTAGAAAACCTGTAGTATTTTTAAATGACCATGCTTTCCACCCTCATATCCCCCTGAGACGAGAGATTTATGTACATTTTTGTCTGGAAAAAATACTCAGATGATGCAAAAATGGCATCAACATGGCGACTGTAGAACGCAAAAGCCGAATCCCAGACATTTTGGGCGATCTCGAAACACATTTTCGGGCAGACTCATCACGGAGTAGCCTAGACTTGTTGTTTAACTACTGTGCTCTGTTACCGGTAGGCGTGGCCTCCTAGGGCAGCGAAGCAAGTGCATTCTGGGAGTTGTGGTCTTTCATCCACATAAGCCAAAAATACATTTTCTGGCTTTTCTCAGTCTAGAAAGCTCCAAATTCAAAAATAATTTCACATTTCTTCTACATAAATGACCCATTTTAATTTCGACCAGTGCATTTAAACAAGATAATTATAAGCATCTTATAAAAGTGATGGTAATACGAATCGACACAGGGACACTCTCTCTCAAGTCCTATGACTCACAGCGAGAGATGATGGGAAATTGAACACCTTCACTTTGCACTCACAGTAAGGCACTGCAGTGGCCGTTCACTACAGTTCCGCAAGAAAGGGGGAAAAAAGAGAGGATAACTCAAATGGATATATAACATAAATGGACCTCATCAAACCTCTGCAAAACTGGGCTCAGCCTGCTAGACACATTTTTATGTGAGTGGTGTAATCAAAATCAGGTTTGCTGGAGGGAGCAAAAAGCAGATGACTCAGACAGCAACAAACAGGGAGTGAGTTAACGTTTTATGATTGGATGATCTACCCCTCCGCATTGTCTCGAGTTTGCAGTGATGGCAGTGCTCATTGTAGCTCTGCTGAGATAAGGTGACAGAGCTTTTGAAAGCAAATATGTGCAACCGTGGGCAGTGTGCATGCAACATAACTGAAAATATCTATTTTCACTGTCATAATAAGCAGCACTATCACTATTACATGCTCATATCTTGAACAAACCAATAACTGCGTTACATTTAGTCATATATAGACCTTATCCAGGAAAGATGTACTACTTTCTTTTTTTTTTTTCCTTTGATCTCTTTATTAAATGGGGATTTTAATACATTTAAGCCACTGAAAAACTCTCTGCATGTCCCTTTACACATTACACTGATATTACACAAGTTTCGGATCGGAACCCGTGAGTGGCAGATAATCAACATTCATTGACACAGATTGGGGCAAAAAAAAAAAAAAAAAAAAAAAAAAACTTGATTGGGACATCCCTAATTTTAAAACATTAAAAGAGTAGTTCACTTTTCAAAAAAACGTTTGCTGATAATTTACTCACCCCCATGTCATCCAAGATGTCCATGTCTTTCTTTCTTCAGTCGAAAATAAATTAAGGTTTTTGATGAAAACATTCCAGGATATTTCTCCATATAATGCACTTCATTGGGAACCATACGAATGAGCGATATATTGTACATTAATATTATGTTGCATATTGTACTCACTATACATTTAAACTGATTCTCTGACAACAGTGTTTGGTTGAGCGATCGTTTCACTTAATAACACCCTTATTCATCATCTGGAATCGTTTAAAGCCTTTGAACAGTTTGCAGTTTGCACTGAAACTGTCTTTTGAACCTTGAACTGTTTGGTTCCCATTGAAGTCCATTATATGGAGAAAAATCCTGGAATGTTTTCATCAAAAACCTTAATTTCTTTTCGACTGAAGAAATAATGACATGGACATCTTGGAGGACATGGGGTGAGTAAATTATTAGCAAAAGTTTTTTTTTTTTTTTAAAGTGAACTACTCCTTTAATGGTGAGTAGTTCACTTTAAACATTGGACACCTGGAAAACATTCCAGGATTTTTCTCCTTTTTAATATTTGATTGGATCATTTCAGCTACTAAGGACAATATTTACAATTTATATTAAGTGCAATTAATGTTGATTGTCATAATCAAAGGCAAATCACACAGACACAAAAGTTAAACTCTATATTTATTTATTTCTTAGAGAACATAATCTATCTTTAGGCATATCTGTGAATGCATATATTGTTCTCACATACAATTAAATTAGATTCTCTGACAACAGCCCTGAAGCAGTCATTTTTTATTTATTAAAAATACTAGTTTAACAGGGCAACGCTCAACACAACAACCACTCAGAACACTTTAGCAACTAATTTGAATTCTTCATGCAAACAACCACACACAACTTAGCATTGTGACAGCGAGTTTTTTCCACACTCACACTTTCATCAAAAAAACATAAAAATGTGTCAGTCTTATTTTGTCATCCATTAATTCTAGATCATTTAGCAGAGCTGATATGCCTAAAATAGAACACAAAGGTCACATTTACAGCTATTTTAATTACAGCAATTACTTCATTTCATTAAGGGAAATTTCAAGCCTTATCAACCACATCTCTCTTGTATGCGCACACACACTTTTCAGTGGCAGGTAATTCGAGCTCTAGTGGCAGGTGCTTCAGGAAGGCAAGCTACGCTGTAAAACATGTCAATCTGCTAATATCTATTATGGCAAGCGAGGGTGGATTAGAGCTGGAGAGAGAGAGAGAGAGAGAGAGGGCATTTAGCAGCAAGAACAGAGGAACACAGCGTGGCTCGGGACGAGAACAGCCTGTCTAACGCAGTGATCCCCGGAGGGATTTGTTTGGGGGAAAAGAAGAGAAAAAAAAAACTGGGCTACCGAGCTACACAACCCTGAAACAATTAGAGATCTGTCTGCCTCTGAATTTGCATGACAAGCAGCGTTCTGTTCCCTGTGGTCAGACATGGGCAATTTCCCCGCCAGTTATTGAATCAGGAAGCACAGAGCAGAAAAAAAAGAGAAAATTAAAACAGAGAATGAGGAAAAACGCAAGTTGCTGCCGTTGATCTAAAAAGCATGAATGCTGTATAGTAAATGTTGTAGTTCAAATGAGGAAGTAGCATGAGGCAGTTGCTCTCCTTACATAGGTTGAGTGTTAAATACATGCAATACGCTTGTACAAAGATTTGCAGTGAGGCAATCACATTGCTTCTGGGCACCAAACTTGTGTTACAATTTTCTACCTTTGATTTAAAGGTTTGCAAAATGATTTGGGATAAAAACAATGTGACTTTTGTACTATAGCAATAATTCAAAACTCAAGACATTTGCCTTGCAATTTTTTCGCCCTGCAATCACTTGCAATATTTATTGAAAGTTTATGACTTACAGAAACTAAACAGAGCACAGTCTCATTTTGCGTTCAAAAGGAAAGGAAAATCAAAAGGAAATAAACCATTTTCTCTTTTGATCATGTTAATATTAAAGCAATCACAGAACCTATGATTCTTTGATATTAAGTACTTTAACATATGTAGTTGATCCTTTATTCCTAACACCTAACCCTAAACCTAACCCTTAGAAAATCGGAGGTGGATAACACTGATGTAGAAGCATCTATGATTGAAAGACTAAACAACATAAACCGTAAACTTGTCAATCAAATCTGATTGGTTGATTGGAAAGTTGTTCCAGGATCAACAAAGCTGTTCATCCACACTGTAAAAAAAAAATATTTTCATGATTTGGAATCACAACATTTTTTCTGTTGACAAATCACTTAAATAATTTAGGTAGTTCATATAACATAATATTTTGAGTTTCTGATGATTAAATCAATCTCCTTCATTGTATTAACTCAATTTTTCCATTTCAATGAACTTAAAATTTTAAGACAATCAGGTTGTCCAAGTTATGTTTCTTTTTTTACAGTGGTACTTGGTTAAATCATGTTCACCACCAAATAAGTGTTGTGTGAACCCCATTTAATGGGTAGTGTAAATGACAGTGGAAAAAAAAAAGAAAAGAAAAAAACTTAGATCTTTTTTAGAATTGATTATGATTTTCAAAGACATCAAAACCTTCCAATGTCTCACTGTAAAAAAAAAAAAAAAAAAAAATGTTGATTTAACTTAAAAAATGAAGTAACCTGGTTGCCTTAAAATTTTAAGTTCATTGAAATGGAAAAATTGAGTTAATACAATGAAGGAGAATGATTTAATCATCAGAAACTCAAAATATTATGTTGTATGAACTACATAAATGATTTAAGTTGATTTAACAAAAGAAAAAATGTGATAACAAATAATAAAAAAAATATTTTTTTACAGTGTATAGCATGAAAACACCGATGTACTTTGAGAAAGGGAGAGATAAAACACTCACTTATGGTGCAGTTGGTGGTGAAGCGGGGGTCATAGGTCGCCGTCTCCATGTCGCCGGGCTGGTTGTAGCTGGAAGAAATCCTGAAGGGTTTGCTCCGAGCTCCCAAGCTGAGGTGCACCACCGCCCAGCTGAAAAGAAGAGAGAGAACCAGCAAGATCAGCAGCAGAACCCAGCAGCAGGGCTGATGCAGGGCCCGCACTGGGCTGTAGGAGGTCATGGTGGCCCCTGGGAGACCGTCCCCAGTTTGGGCCAGTTCAAAAGTCTCTGGAGATCTCACAGAGGGAGACGTCTGGCCGTCTGACACCAAACCAGACCCCTCTGCCATTTTAGGGTCATCCTCTGCTGCCGTATCGCACATCCCCTAAATCTTCCAGATATCCACTCTGCTTACGGAAGCTATGCCAGTTGAAACCAATGGGCAAGTACAGGACGTGTTTATGTGTGTATTGCACAGATGCTGTCTCCACTGGATGATACCTGTGGAAGAATGCACGGATGCACAGTTGCTCTGTGCGTTTTTAACCAAACTGTCTCTCATAAGGAAGTCAATGACCTAGCTAATTTTATTAAGCAAATTGCTTAGATTTCAATTTGCCAGTGGCCAGAGACCAATGATTTTAGTCTCCTCCTCCCTCTCTCTTCTCCCTCTCCTGGGCTTTTCTTTCCCCCAGACCTGTAACCTGTCTGTTGTGTTGTTGTTGTTGTTTTGCATCTCACTGCAGGATTTGCACCGATGTCTGATTCGCTCCAACAACAGGAGTCGAGACCCATGACTAAGTGGGCGGTGATCCTCTAAACAAATACGCAGACAGCTAGCAATCATAGGGAAATGAAGACGGGCAGATCTCTGACAGGCATAATGCACTCGGATACACTTGAGTTAAGATTATTGTTCCACATTTGAGTTTCCATCAATCCACTGTTTGTATGATTGATTTCACATCATTGAAAAATTCAATGTGAATTGCCATTTTAAACCATTCCAAGGTGTCATATACTGACGCTTTTGACATTTTGTCTACACACAAGTTATGAGACGCAGATATATATGGGCCAGAAGGCGCCTCCTAGTGGTCTAACCCTAAACCTACCCCAGAACTAAACCTACCCATAACCGAACAAAGCTCTGTGCGTGTTATATTGACGCTAAAAGGTGCCATATGCGTTGGATTTAGACGAAATTTCAAAAGTGTCACTATATGATGCCCTAGAATGAGAATGCGTTCATTAAACCACATTTACTTAAAAAAATAGAAATATCCAATGTTATATGTGCTATAAATCATGCTTAAAGTTTAATAACCCACATTTACTTCCATTATATGAATACATTGTATGCAAACTGTATTCCATTCAACACTGGAGAGGTTGACCCATAATGACTCTAGCCACTTCCGAGAACCCTGGATATGTGAAAAGAGTCCATTGGTATCAGTAGCCAAGGTTTCAATTTAGTTTGAGACCTGAGACAAAAATGATTAGCTCATGCACAATAGGACCACAAAACAGATTAAAAATATTCTATTTGAAGTTGACTTTAAGTGCCTCTTTATCCTCCGAGGCACAGCATTCGAAGCAGGCCCTTGAGATGCAAGGTGGGCCAATTGACATTCCTGGAGATGGAATGATTAAACATTATTTTTTCCCCATCACAGATTTTGTAACTTTATTTTTAAACAAAAAGAGCAGGTCTTAAAGAAAACCAAAAAAACATCTATAAACAAACAGTGCTCAACGCTAAGGAGTTTACTGGCAGTGGTGGAATGTAACGAAGTACAAATACTTCGTTACTTTACTTAAGTACATTTTTCACATATCTTTACTTTACTTAAGTAGAATAAATAGTGCCTACTTTTTACTTTTACTTCGTTACATTTTGCAGCAATTATTATACTTTCTACTCCACTACATTTCTACAACTTCTGTTACATTTTCATTACATTTCCTGGTCAGTTTTTCCCCCTGCCAAAACGTAAACGTTGCACGTTTGTCTCACCAGTGACGTTTGGTTGCCATAGATACATCAACTAAATGCGTCTTGCACGCAGTGTGTTTATCGTGCAATTTATACGCGAAAATTTGTTTTTACATGCTTAGGAAACGCACCGTGTGTAATATACGTTTGGTTAGGATTATGGCAAGCCAAGAGGTTCAGAATTACACCATAAATTAATCGCGTTTACTGCCAAACATAGTTATTAACATAAAGTAAGGATATGGCTTATTGCCTAATTGCAAGCTTGTTTCAGAAATGGTGACAACAACTTCTTTCCCATCATTATTGAACATCATTATAGGAGTATTAGGTTCAACGAGTTAGAATTAAATGTTTTATTAATCATTAGAAAATAGTCATTAAGAGAATCAATTATTATGCAAGTACTTTTACTTTTAATGCTTAAAGTACATTTAAAATCAGGTACTTTTTACTTTTTACTTAAGTATGGTTGTCATTGTGTTACTTCTACTTCTACTAAAGTAAATATGTATCTGGTTATTTGTACTTTTACTTAAGTACTGAGATTCAGTACTTCCTCCACCACTGTTTACTGGTTATACTTTTTCACTGGCCCCACCACAAACAAATATAGCAACTATCACCAGGATGGTCCCGCGAGAACTAAATGATCCCCTAGATGCCATTTTCCTGGTTGCATCCGCACTGCCAGTAGGATCTCTGAAGTGACGGCCTCATTTCGCGATGACTGAGATAGAATGTAGACGCATAAGTTATGTGATCTTTTTGAAAAGGTGTTTCGTATGGCATGTGTTCGGCCAATCAACGTACAGTACACTACTGTCACTGGAAGTTCCTGTTGTGTTGGGCTAGACCATAGACTGTAAAAAATATGGACAACGTGTCTGTGACGTCACCCATAGACTTTCCAAAGAATGGGTTTGAGGCTGTTTATGGGGGGTATGGGCGGCGCCATCTTGGAAAATCTTTGGAAATACAAAATACAAATGTTTAGAAAGGATACAGAGGTGGTATGATGTGTTGTGTCAGATCATGGCCGACACGTCAAATTCCACTCGGTGCAGCCCGTTATCAGCTGTCAATCAAAATTAACCGCCCTTATTTGCCATACATTTTATATCTAAATACAATGTAAACTAACAAGTTAGAAAAAAAAAAAAATCACCCCCCTTACAGTTGTCAGGCACTCTGAATCTATCCAAAAAATACAATAAAAGTCCATGGGACTAACCTGTAAAAGCATGAATTTATGCTGTGAAAACGGACATTTTAACATGGGGTCTATGGACATTTGCTCCCTTTTGGTACCTCCCTCTAGCGGATTTTAGATGAATTGCAGTTAGACCCTCTGAAGTAGGAGCTAATGTAGTCCACTAAAATATAACTAAAATTAAAGTGGGCACTTACACCAATGGTTATACAAACTATGAAAATGCTCTTCCAATGCAAAAGCCATACTGATCCAGTTCTTGATCATTGACTTTTCAAGTTAACAACTCACTGGAGGGAAGATAACCAGTTTATAATCACTTTTGTTGTTGTTTTTCAATTTGTTCCCTACCTCAGATATTATGAGGAGTCAAATAAAACACATGTACGGTGTGAAGATACTACTGTTATTTTCCTTATTTTAATGGCCTAGTTGTATTTTAACATATCAAATGATCCCACATAATTAAAAATGAAGGTCTTGTGATTCACTGCTTTAATCGCTGGTTTGTTTTAAAAATATCTATTCTCAGGTTGTCTTCCTGCCTCTTTGCAATGAAATCAAACCTACGCCCATGTTTAAATGTGAAAAAGTGAGAGGAGAACTGAACTTGTCATCAAAAGCTCTGCTTTTCATCATTGCTAATGTTGTTTTGTAGATCTAGAATAATGCATATTAATGTGCACAAATGTGTAATGTATTATCATAAGGGTTGCATTTGGAAAATGACTTCAGTGAGAAACACACGCTCACACAAACACAGCTGACTTACTGTAACAAACTATGTTCAGGTAGACACTTGCTTTTCATCGAATAAACCAGTCCTTAACCGCATGAAATAATGAGCTGCCATTTCAAATTTAGCTCTATTTTAAGGTTAAATCGCCTCCTCTTGGCAGGCCTACACAGTCATATCTACATATTAATTTCATTGGACAGCATTGTCATTAGATACACTGTATGATAATAAAATCATACATGCTCATAGCAGTGGTAATATAATGTATAATTTTGTTGCCGTCATTGCCGCTTTACAAAAACTCTTCACTGATAGTCCGGGTCATGTTAAGATCAAACTTGATGAGCTGTTTTTGAGATGGTAAAGAAGTTCCCAGGTAGTCAAATGCTGATACAGCAAAGCACATTAACCCTTGTGCTGCATTAGATTTTTAACACCAATGAGTGCATTAAGGACCAAAAATGGCCACATATTAAACATTGCCTAAAATATTATATATTATTATTATTTTCCACTTTTACCAAGTTAAATCTTTTAACCAGCATCAGTCCTCATCATAACTACCAAAAATGTATTCAATTTCAGGATTTTAACCCTTTAATTACCAGTTTTGTTTGCGAAACCATCGATTTGTATAAGAGGAAAAAACACAAAAATTCAATTATTTTCAATAAACTAAATGCAAAGAGAAAACTTTAGATTTGGATTATCACAGTCCCACTTTGCAAAAAATCCCACTTAGCGCGTTAGAGACCAAAAATGGCCACCTATTAAACATTGCCTATTGCCTAAAATAAGGTGCATTTCCACCCATAGGGAATAAATATGTAGTGACGTCATCTGGTGGAATACACTATGTAATGCAAATATAATGCTTTTGCTTCAAAATGAAAGGATGTTTGTGCAAAAATCATGTTTCATGTATTACTGACAGCCTCAGATTTAAACAACGTTTTAATGGGTTTCAATGGGCCATTTTTGGTCTTTACTTTACTGAGTGTTACTATTTGATCTACACAGTGTGTGTTATACATATTTAGCAAAATGGGATTACATTTTTTACATGTATCCAAAAAGTCACAATTTTGCCGAATTTCATACCATTTGCATTAAAACAGCCAAAATGGTCAAAGAAATTAAACTGCAAAAGACCAAAAATGTCCCTAATGCAGCATAAGGGTTAAAATAACACAATCAAAAA